CCTGCCTGCCTGCCTGCCTGCCTGCCTGCCTACCTACCTACCTACCTACCTACCTACCTACCTACCTACCTACCTACACACATACATACATACATACATACATACATACATACATACATACATACAACACAAGGGACCAAAGAAAGCACAATGACATAAGAAAATATACTGGTGAAGGATGTCCGCTATAAACCCATGTACAAGAAAGACCAGTACAGCTGGGACATCCCTGTAAACGCCTGTGCTTGTCTTCTTTCGGGACCGCTGAATGATACAAAAGCATTTGCATCATGTCTCTGGGCATCAAAAATTAGAACAGAGTGCTTTACTAACCCCTAAACCCTAAACCCTAAACCCTAAACCCTAAACCTCTATAGGTCCGTCCAGCCTGCGCTTCCATCCGCCTATCGACCTGGCATTGAGGGACACGGAAGCTGCCGACATGGTCGTGTCTAGGGCTTAGGGCTTAGAGCTTCGGGTTTAGGGTTGAGAGTTTAGGGTTTAGGGTTGAGGGTTGAGGGTTTAGGGTTGAGGGTTGAGGTTTGAGGGTTGAGGNNGTTTAAGGTTTAGGGTTTAGGTCCTGGGTGCACTAAAAGGAACCAACCTGCCATGCTTCTGAGAAAAGGCCCTGAGCCTCAGCAACGGCCTTTCGGAATCAAAGCTATGGGCCTGGCACTTTTATATGGGTAGTTCTCTAAATTAGGGTCCCTTTTAGGGTCCTTTTTATAAGGGTGCCGTACTATATTGGGGACCTAAAATGGGACCCTGATTTAGAAAACTACCCATATGTTCAGGGTTTAGGGTTCGGGTTGAGGTTCGCCCAAGGCCTCCAGGTGAAAGTCTCGAATTCGGTTCTCCATGTCCTGCCGGGCATCGGCCATCTCCGCCTTCGAAGCGATTGTTTCGGGTTTTGGGTTTTGGGTTTCGGGTTTAGGGTTGAGGGTTTAGGGCTTAGGGCTTCGGGTTGAGGGTTTCGGGTTTAGGGTTTACGGTTGAGGGTTTAGGGTTTTTGGGTTTCGGGTTTAGGGGTCGTCGTGCAAAGTTCTGCCGTTCCTATGAACGCTTGCTTGGCCCCGGTGTCAATAAAACCATATAATTCTGATGCTTGGTCTTGGCAGCGGTATGGGCTGGCATTGCTGATATCGAGATGTCCTCTTGGTTCTTCTGATTGGTAGTGACTTGGTAGTGAGTCTAGTCATGTTTGTTCCTTCCGATCATTATTTGCAGCATTGATTGCCACATTTCTCACATGTGGGGGTTTCCGAACATGGGGGACCCTAATCTAGCACCCTAAATAGTAGGATCCTTATTATTCTTACCCCACAATAGGGTTCCCCCTATTTTCGGAACCTCCCATGTCTCTTCAGCAGTTTGTACTTTGTACGATGCCTTTTTCCTGCTGTCTGTACACCTCTTTCAAAAAAGCCGCTCCTTGTTCTTATGACTTCTTCCTGGAGTCTCAAGTTGATGTCGTCGCTCATGGCATTCTGACTCTTGCATCTTAGTCTTGTCAGGGTTTAGGGTTTAGGGTTTAGGCTTTAGGGTTTAGGGTTTAGGGTTTAGAGTGAATTTCACAAGCAACCATGGCATAGGCCTCACTCCCGAAAAGACCTAAACCTTGCACTCCACGTACTGGAGTTGTGGGGTTCATCTTCCCGACAAAGGCACCTCCATCCGCCGACGTAGCGCATCCTCAAGAATGGAGATCACGGTTAAGGGTTTAGGGCTTAGGGTGTAGGGTTTAGGATTTAGGTTTTGATAACGATGACGATGGTGATGCTGAGGATAGTAGTGCTAGCGATGACGGTCGCGGTGAACATCACAACCATCAGAACCACCACCACCCAGTATCACTTTTCATCATGTTCATAACGGTCTGTTTCATGCATACTTGGTATAAAGGCCTTAAGGGTAAGTCATGAAGCACGAATAGTGTTAACATCATCTCCATTACAAAGCTGGCTTGTTCGATGTTGCTACATGGGGCAGTAGACATGCTGGAATTCTGATCGCGCTGTCCTTCGACTAGGGCGCTGAAAGACAGGTAATGTGGCCTGAACAACTAGAATAGGGTTTTGGCCTCAGTTGTAGTATAACTTATAACTATTATTGAGGAACCCTGATAGCATAGTAAATGCAGGGATCCTATATCTTGGGCAGAAGTTCCGTCGGTGCGCTAATTTGGACACTTACCCTAGTTCCTACATCGTACTTTCCCCTAAACCCTAAACTTGGCCCTGAACCCTCAACCCCCTAAACCCTAAACCCTAAACCCTAAACCCCAAACCCTAAACCCTCAACCCTAACCTCCCATCCCAAAACTCTGCGAGCGAGGCGCATCTGCCAAACGTCGAACCTTCGAGTCGTACACGCTCTCGTCGCTTGTGCTGCGGTTGATCTCCTTCCGTCAGAAGGCCGTAGGGTTGTAGGGGTAAGGGGCTTAGAACTTCGGGCTTAGGGTTTAGGGTTTTTTTAGTGGGACACGCCTTCGACTCACGTCGACGCTGCCATGTAGGCTACCACTCAGTGAAACTAGTTAGGCTCTTCGGACTGACTCACATCTTGTACACCCAGCTCATGTGCAGGTCCACGACGGTTTAAGGTTTAGGGTTTAGGGTTTAGGGTATAGGCTTCAGAAAAGAAGCTGGCTCCCATTATCACGACCATCGGCATAACACTCATAACCATTAGCTATGATCCTAAACCCCTTAGCGCACCAAAAAACCTAAACCCTAAACCCTAAACCCGCACAATGATCCGAATGAGAGGACTGGCCTCCAAGCGCGAGATCCACAGGCGTGTGCGAACTCGGTGGTGCGCCTCAAGCACTCACTTGCTGAGGACTGTACGGAACCCTTCTCTAGGGTCCTTTTTGACAAGGGATCTATCAGGGTTCTAGGCTTTGTACAGGGGTGCTATATGAGGATTCGATATGGAGAGTTTCAGGGTCTAGGGGTTTATGGTTTAGGGTTTAAGGTCTGCAATCTGAAACACCACCACCCCAAGAGTTGTGTTTCAGCCAAGAATATCACAAACTTCCAATCCCCAAACAAGGAGGAGAAACATGGCAGCCTGGAGCATGCCTTTACAGCTAGCCCCACACTTCGCTGCCTCATCCCAGACACAAGAGCCCCTGAACCCTAAACCTGCCTAAACCCTAAACCCTAAACCCTAAACCCTAATCTTCACTCGCCATTACCAATGGAGAGCTACTTTGCAATGGGCAAATGGCCAAGAGACCGAGAGGATTCTCAGCCCCCGGCGACACAGACTTGGCCCAAGCGGGCGATGGCCACGTGCATGGACTCAGTCGTGAGACGATCAATAGCTCTACATCTGGGCAAAGCAGAGAACATCACCATGTGTAGTCAAACTGTCTTCGTGTTGCCGCCGTTCTACGTATGCTACCAGCATTCTTTCTTAAGTGACAGTCTTCTCTGATTTTACTATCGTTGGTATAAGCTTCGATCTTTCATCGTCGCAGCCGTTTCGCAACCTTACTCTTCATAAACCCTACGCCTACTCCTGCCACAACTCCTGTTCCCACTCGTGCTACTCCTACTACCCTCACTGCTCCTACTACTCCTACTACCCTCACTACTCCTACTACTCCTACTACTCCTACTACTCCTACTACTACGACTCCTCCTCCTGCTCCTCATCCTCCTCTCCTCCCTCGTCTCCTCCTCTTCTCCTCACCTCCTCACGTCCTCCCCTCCTCCTCCTGCTGCTGCTGCTGCTTCTGCTGCTGCTGCTGTAGTACAACTCTGCTACCTTACTACTACCGGACTCTGCTGCTATACTACTCTACTGCTCTGTAACTCTACTACAAGTACTCCACTACTCTATTACTCTGCTACTCTACTACTCTGCTACTCTACAACTCTCTACTACTCTCTGCTACTCTCTACTACTCTACTACGACTCTACCACTGTACCACTCTACCACTCTGATGCCTTTATTGAAACTTGCCCCATGCAGTTCTGTAGCAGCCTCTCGACACCGTCATCTCATGGTCATGGCATGGCAAAACTGAACTTGAAGTTAAAAACCCTTGCAACCCCTAACCCTAAACCCCTAAACACCAAGCCCAAATTACAAGCTTCGAGCATGAAGGGGAAGCATGGTTTAGCCAAGTCCGAGGCCCACTGCAGAGCGGAACTGCTCACGGCACGCAGAGCTAACACCTGCACTTCCAGAAGCATAGGGCTTTGTGGGTACATCATAGTTTAAGTATATAGGGGCTATCATCAGGTGATGACTCGACGAAAGACAACACCAAGACCACGAACCTCAACCACAACAGCAACCGTCAGCACCGAGACATACGGGACGACGACGACAACTACCGCGACAACAGCAGCCAACACCTCCGGCCCAGACAACCACAAGCACCATCACCACCACAGCGGTCATGACTACCACGTCCAAGACCAGAAGCATCCACGGCAGCAGAGCTCAGGCAACAATAAGGATGATGAAGGGAACAAAGTCGGTGCGGCCGAGGATTCCCAAAGCCCCGTGATCATGATAATGAAGATGCTAATGGACATTGATGATGCTGACGCTGATGCAGCTGCTGACGGCAATCTGACAGAGATAATGGCGATAATGACGACGACGGCGGCGACGACGACGACGATGACGACGACAAAGGACGCGACGAGGACTGCGCTGATGCCGATGCCAACACCGATGGGGGCTACGCCGATGACGACGCCTACGTCCTTGATCTTGATGATGATGATGATGATGATGGTGATGATGATGATGATGATGATGAGGAGGATGAGGATGAGGATGAGGATGAGGATGAGGATGACGATGAGGATGAGGACGAAGACCACGACGACGACCAGGACGAGGATGATGATGATGATGATGATGACGACGACGACGACGACGATGACGATGATGATGATGATGGTGATGATGATGATGATGAGGATGAGGATGAGGATGAGGACGACGATGACGATGGTGATCGTGATGAGGATGATGAGGAGGATGATGATGAGGAGGAGGAGGGTGATTGATGACGATGGTGACGATGATGATGATATTGACGATGATGATGATGGTGATGATGATGGTGATGGTGATGGTGATGGTGATGGTGGTGATGATGATGGTGATGATGGTGATGACGGTGATGATGGTGATGATGACGATGATGGTGATGATGGTGATGATGGTGATGATGGTGATGATGGTGATGACGGTGATGATGGTGATGATGGTGCTGGTGATGGTGATGATGGTGATGGTGATGGTGATGGTGATGATGATGATGATGGTGGTGATGATGATGATAATGATGATGAGGAGGAGGTGATGATGACGGTTTGCTGCTCGTGGTGTTGATGTTGGTACTGATATGTACCCTTTCTATGTACTACTGTTTGCAGGTTTCCACTGGATGGGTTGATGGCGAAAGCGCTTTCGAAGCCAACCAAGTGAAGAGATGATGTTTGGAGGTGTGACAATATCATCGAAGGGCGATGAGCAAAGTGCGAAGATGTGTTCTCAACAAGCCCGCAAACCAGCAGGAACGCCACCAGCAACAACAGCAACTCCGACAAAGGCCAAGCTCCTGTTCTCATCAACACCCGGCAAGCATACAACCGCCCCGGCCATCAACAACGACAACAACAATTACCAAGAAGAAGTCTGCAGTAGCCGTACTAAGCCTTGTGAAAATCGCTATCCTCCCAACGCTGAATCACTGAAATCTTCGACCAGTCCCCTTAAACCCCAAACCCTGAAACAGTGCATCAGATGCCTCCGGGAGCGGCAGACCGCAGACCACCAGCACCAGGCAGGGAGGCTCCAACCGCGTGAAGCCCTGCGCAAGAGGGTTTCATAGGGTTTAGGCCTTAGGGGTCTAGGGTTTAGGGTTTAGGGTTTAGGGCTTCGGGTTTAGAGTTTAGGGTTGTTAGTCTGTCCCGTAGTCTGCATTGACACTCCAGTCATCCTCCTTCATCACATGATCCGTTAAGAACAGTCATAGTCCATAGTTCTCATGGGTTGTCTCTGAACAACAACACCTGGAAAAGTTGCAGACGACGCAACACAGGCACCCAGAACCCCGATGCACGTTGCAAGATTGTGGTGCTCTTTTTCGTGAGCCATTCAAGCGCCGGTTTAGGGTTTAGGGTTTAGGGTTTAGGGTTTCAGGAATGGCACTGCCTACCCACTGGTCGATGGACAGACTTGGATCTGCTGCTCCCACTTCCTCTCCCCACCCTTTCTTGCTCTCATGCCCCTAAACCCTAAACCCCTAAAACCCCTAAAACCCCTAAAACTTCTAAAAGCCCCAAAACCCCTAAAACCCCCAAAACCCCTAAAACCCCTAAAGCCCCTAAAACTTCTAAAACCCCTAAAACCCGTGAAAAAACCCTGAAACCCCTAAAACACCGAAACCCCTAAACCCTAAGCCGCTCTGTCTCTGTGAAAACGGGAACTTGCTTCCGATTTTTTGGCTTTCAGACCTCGGAGTTTCAGCAACTCTGGAGGTGTTCACGCACCTGCCCTCAAATCTCCGGTTTAGGGTTTAGGGGTTTAGGGTTTAGGGTTTAGGGGCTTAGGGTTTAGGGTTTAGGGTTTAGGGTCGAACCCTGAACCCCCAAGTCAAAGTAGAGGTGGGGAGTTTAGGGTACATAGGGCTTCTATACGGTGTCTATAAGGTATCTAGACCGTCTATAGGGCTCCTATAACGGTAACTACCCACCTGAAATTGTCCTAGACCAAGACTACATCCCCGAATTCGAAAAACCCTAAACCCCTAAACCCTAAACCCCTAAACCATCCTAAACCCCTACAGCCCCTACACCCACTAAACCCGTAAACCCCAAACCCGAGATTCCAAACCCTAAACCCGAAGCTTTGATGGCCCTCGTGCGACCTGGCCGTCTTGGAGCTGGGCCACCTGGAGCTGTAGGAGCTCCTGCAAGAGCTCAAGAAACACATGCTCAGAGTTTAGGGTTTAGGATTCAGATTCAGGGTTTTAGGATGTAGGGTGTTAGGGTGTTAGGGTTTTAGGGTTTAGGGTTTAGGGTTTTCGGGTTTAGGGTTTTAGGGTTTAGGGTTTTAGGGTTTAGGGTTCCTTCGCTCCTCCCCCTCCTCATGCCAACTCCTCACCCTCTGCTCATGGCTTGGACACAGCCGGACTCTTGAATTCTGTGTCGGATTGAGTAACCAGAAGACAGTTCTACAACACTTTATACTGTTCCCCAGTTTTCCTCCACACCATCGCTTAATTACTGCTATCCCTCTGGCATTAAGGGTGGCCCTTCGAAGCGTCGCGCAAACATCCCACACCCGCTGCTAGCCTCCTGGTCCAATTTCTGCGCTTCTTTCTCCTGGCAAAGGGTCTACAAAACCCTAAACCCTAAACCCTAAACCCTAACTATGGATTCTTCGCATCCGCCGCATTTCGAGGGATCGGGGATGATTCGGGTCTCAAGTGTCTGCGAAACAGGCTCGTCGTGAGGGATTGAGAACTACCTCTTCAGGTTTCGCGCCCGGGTTCACCTTTCCATAGAAGCAGGTCTTAGGGTTTAGGGTTTAGGGTTTAGGGTTTAGGGTTTAGGGTCACCCTCAACCCAACATCCTTATACCTGAGACCCCAAAATGCCAAAAGAGCAAGAAAGCCTGAAGCACACATCGGGCCCCGATGACGTACGCGTGCCTCCTCCGGCGTGATCAACTCCGATTCATCTACCGCAGGCCTCGAGGCCAAGGCACTCACACCCAAGTCCCCCAAACCGCTCTGAAGACCAGAAAATGGGCTGGGCTGGGCTGTGGGCTGGGCTGTGGGCGGCTGGCACACTGCAGAGTTCGAAGCGAAATTTACACAATTTCTAGTTATCCTGATCTTGACGTTTTGGCGTTTGGGGGTTCAGAGGTTTAGGGTGGTTTAACGATTTTTAGGGGTTTAGGACTTACCACCTACAGGACCAAGGGACTCAGTGTGTAGACTACAGCTAGGGCGATTAGTACCTGAACAGAGCTATCCTATCTACAGCCCTCTTACACCTACCGTGTCCCCTGAGTGTCTAAGTAAAGCCTGTCGAGCCTGAACATCCCTAAACCCTCAACCCTAAATCCCTAAATCCTCAAATCCCCAAGCCCTAAACCCTCAACATCCCTGAACTCCCAAACACTAAACCCAAAGCTCCTAAACCCTAAACCCTAAACCCTAGACATCCCTAAACTCCTAAACAATGCAAGGGTTTCGGAGTTGTGAAAAACCCCGGCTCGGCTGCCCCGCAGCAAAGCTGCAGTCTCCTTCAAAACACTTGAGGTTATGGGTTTAGGGTTTAGGGTTTAGGGTGTAGGGTTTAGAGTTTAGGGTTTAGGGTTTAGGGGTATGGCTTTTTGGGATTCCGGGATTCGGGATTTGCCTCTAGTCTCCATTGAAGCTCCTTTTTGTGGTTTAACCGTATCCATACATATATCTACATAGTGATTTAACCATATCCATATCTATATATATATATATATATATATATATATAGGATCCTATAATGGTAAGGTAACCCCCGAAAAGGAACTACAACGGAGATTATAGGTAGGGTTTATGGGGGAGGGTCTCAGGGTCTGCGGTGAAAGGTTGATGAGGGCCTAATCGAAAGGGTTTACGGTCTAGGGTTTTGGGTTTTGGGTTTTGGGATTAGGGCTTAGGGAATTTTAGGATTTGGGTTTAGTGTTTAGGGGTGATGTACTAAAGAATAAGTTGAAGGCAAAGGCGGCAGACAGGCGGACCACAGCACAGGGTAGCAACGGGTAGTATGGCAAAAGTATCCGACGGCAGTTAATGCCCTGATGGCGACCTCTGGATCCTAACCCCTGCATCTCGAAGGCCCTAAATTCGATCCTCGGCATTTGCCGCATCAGCATCTGCAACCTCGGCGTCCACCGCCTCGGCGTCCACCGCATCAGCGGCGGCCGTTGCGTTGCCGGCATCCGCTGCGGTGGTGGCGGCAGCGTCGGTGTCTGCGTCAGCTGGTGCCGCAGGCGCTTCGGGGACCGACTCATCTGGATGGCCTGGCGAAAGTTGCGGTTTGGGTTTAGGGTTTAGGGTTTAGGGTTTAGGGGTCGGGGAGGCCCAGCTGGATCCGAGTTGTTCATGCGGCACCTCCAGTCAAAGAACCCCTTTGAGGCATCAAGGGATGTTGCCCGGAAAGGTAAATGACTGTGTCCAGCAGTCTAACGCAGGGGCCTTAACAACTAGAATAGGGTTTTGGGGGTATATTGCGCTATAATTATAATAAGGAGCCCCTAAAAATAGTATAGATACTTATTAAGGACCCTATACTACTTCCTCAGACAGGCGATGGTGGCCTGGAGCAGCGTCATCGGCCGGGGCCGCATCCTCCGGGGTCGCTTCCTGCGCTCTTCCCATCTTTCGGAGCGACTGATGGATCTTGGGCCAAAACCCTGAACCCTAAACCCTTAATCCTAAACCCTAAACCCTTAACCCTAGATCCTTAAGCCTAAACCCTAAACCCTTAACCCTTAAGCCTAAACCCTAAATCCTAAACCCTAAACCCTAAACCCTAAACCCTAAACCCTAAACCCTTAACCCTTAACCCTTAAGCCTAAACCCTTAATCCTAAACCCTAAACCTAAAATCCTAAACCCTAAACCCTAAACCCCACCGGCTTTCGGGCCAGGGCTTCCAGCCTTGCTTCCACCGATTCATCGACAACGAAAGGCGGCTACAGGCCTCGGACTGCGCTGCCTCTTCCCTTTCCGTTTGCTTCTGCCGCCTGGCCCGGAGAGGGTTTTGGAAATCTTCGAGCTGAAAACACGAGTCTCAACTAAAAAATAATCCTTGACCTCATCTAAACCCTAAACCCTAAACCCTAAGCCCTAAACCCTAAACCCTGAACCTTTCTTGAGGAAGTCGTGAGGCTCTCAGAGGCTCCTAAACGATTTCGACCCGGCATTCGCCCAACCCACCCTGCGCGTCTCTGCAGCAAGGGTAGAGACCGGAGACCGCCTGCTACCGGAGAAAGGATACGAAGAGGTAGGGTAGGTAGGCAAGCAGGTTGGTATTCAGTCTTTCACATGCAGAGGTAGATCGAGGTACATAGGCACGTGCCGGCAGACCAGTCACGGAGTCTGACTCGATGTATCCAACTTGTTGTCACTGTGCAGCAAGCATGGTGGCACCCGCTTCAAGGCTGGCATTTTACGTCGCTCAGCTCCATGAGAGGAATGCTGAGATCTCCCCTGAAAAGCCGCACGACGCGCAGGCGAAGTACCGCACAGCATGAGCTTGGCTTTGGCTTCGGTGTCGCGCGCTGTGAATTTTGGGGCGTAGCCGTGCCCGATGATGATTCCAGGACTGAAGTTCCTTCTGAAAGGCTTGAAAGCTGTTTGGAGGAGAGCCAAACCATCAAACAAATGGTCGAACACCTTCTTCAAGGCTTAGACCTCTGACTCCGACCCCCTAAACCCCCACAGCCCCAGCTGAGACTCGCCCCAACGACCTCCGCTGTGCGCGTAGCTGCTCCAACCGTGGCACGAAGCGCGGCCTTCGACTTGCACAGTACGGTGTAGGGTTTAGGCACGATAAGAGCACAAGAGATCACCGCCACTCATTTCCCTTTGCACCACCTCACGTAAGAACCCCGCAGCAAACCCCATAGCCCATAGCGTGCTGTCTAGGGAACAACAGTGTGAACAACAAACAGTACATGGTAACATGAAAAAGGAGTTGACAACTACTGGGGTATTACTGTAGTGGTGCTTCGACAGTAGCAGTGCACCAGGCTCAAGAGAGACCCGGGAAGAACACAGAACCGGGAAGTCCGTGAGAGCGATGCTTGGGCCGCAACTCTGTTTTCCCCGCCACTTCTCCTGCCACGTAGGGGGCTTGGAACTGCGCAGTGGGGAATGTGGTGGCACCAGCAGCTGTAGCATACTGGTGTTTTGGGGACGTACATAACTTCTTTCAGGATGCCACTTCTGTTGGGCGACCTCCAAACTCCATCTGGAGTACATACATGAGGACCTGCCTGCTAGCTAGAGAAACACGACCTGAATAATGAGTTCACCATTAGCAGCAGCAGCAGCAGCAGTAGTAGTAGGAGCAACAGTAGCAGCAGGAGTAGTAGAAGTAGGAGTAGGAGCATGAGCAGGAGTAGGAGGAGCAGTAGCCGAAGACGTAGCTGTAGCAGCAGAAATGGCAGTCTGCTGCTAGGAAGCAGCCGCAAATCCAGCAGCAGCACCAGCGGCAGGGTTAGTAGCAGCAGCAGCCATTTCCGTGTGCAAATCACACATGGCAACTCCCAGAGATACGCCCCAGAGGCTTGCGGACTCTTTTGTACCAGCGTAGCGCCGGGATGCCGGATGAAGCCTGCAAGAATACGATGCGCTCCCATCGTCACGTGTGAGAACAGGCATGGCATCGTTCGGATGACCACCCTGTCGCCGATCGTGAAACATGCTGAGACGTGTAAGTGTCAGAGGTATCGACAGCGTGCAGCAGCTTCCGCAGTAGTAAGTGGACATAGAAGTAGAACTAGAGCTAGAAGTAAAAGAAGAAGCCTACTAGAAGTGGAAATAGAAGCAGTAGTAGTAGTAGTAGTAGTAGTAGTAGCAAAAGTAGTAAAAAAAATAAAAGAAGTAAACGTACTAAAGTAGTAAAAGTAATAAAAGTAGCAAAAGTAATAAAAAAATAGTAAACGTAGCAGACGTAGTAAAAGTAGTAGTAGCAGCAGAATCAGTAGTATGAGTACTAGTACCGGTAGCAGCAGCAGCAGCAGCAGCAGCAGCAGTAGTAGTAGTAGTAGTAGTAGTAGTAGTAGTAGAAACAGTGCTAATTAATAGTAACGGTAGTAGTAGTGATAGAAGTAGAAGTAGTAGTAGTAGTAGTAGTAGTAGTAGTAGTAGTAGGAGTAGCATTCATTCCCCACGCCGCTGACGTCCAAAGTCGGCTTAGCGAGCTAGCGATTTACCATTTGGCAAATCGGACTCTCATTGGAGTCTATGTCGGGTCCAGTGACCAGCGACACACTACCTGAGCTTGTCACGCGTCGTCTCATGAGTGACCTGGCTCGGATCTCAGCCAAATCACATAAACAGCTTCACGATTTGCAGTCGTATCTTCATCAGTGCAGAATGAGCGCGCTTTGCAGTTATCGTCTGTAATCCAGCTTTTGCCTGCCCCATAAAGCAACTGTCCCCGTAATACTGCTCTGTAGTGCCCTTCAGTAGGCGAAGCCCCGTAGTGCAACGCCATAGCCACGACCTGGTAGGGCATGTGGAAGCACTCGAGATTGTCTCGCTCTGAGGCACTGCTGCTTTTATAGACAGGGAGGTGCACTGTAGACAGGTGGCCTATCAAAGGCCGTGGATCACGCCGCACAACCCCATCCTCATTATGAAAGCGAAGCAGCTGCAGACAGACCAAAGGGGCTGGTCCGAGTAAGGCATGTACGCTGGACTGCATGTGCCAGCCATCTATGCACCACTGAAGATGGCATTGAGCTCCCTGGCAAAGAGGGAGAGGAATAGGCAGATTGGCAGAACCAGAGTCAAGAGTGCAAAGGCGGCCATCCCGGAATTGCCTGGCTTCCCATATTGGGATAGACAAATCATGGGGCCATCGTAGACACCTTGGAAGCATGTAGTGCAGGAACTCACAGATGTCATGTTGCCGGCTTGGTTGAGCCCATTGCCCAAGCAGAAGTCTCCACGGCATGAGCTGCATGACCTTGACCAGGGACGACTTGGCAGCTCCAGCAAAAAGTGCACTGTAGCACGCGTGCAGTGACGGACCCCTTGTGCCAGAGTGCTGAAGCTGGAGCACGGACCATGCTGTAGCATATATGGATGCATTGATGTAGCACATGTTTCCACTGTTATGCAGTTTGATGCGCAGTAGCTGGGCCAAGCTGGGGCTCCCGCCGGTAGTCAGAGACCCTGACGCACCAGATCGGCCAGGCCGTTGTACTGCGGCCTCTCTCGTCTCAGACGGCATCCTAAGAGACGCCACGCCGCCTGCCCCACCCAACCCTGGAGGGTGTGCGAGATGGGGTCGCCAAGGGGACGCAGGGAGATTTTCATCCGGAACTGTACCCACTCGGTCGTGGGATTCTCCGTCATCCTTTTGTGACTCCTGAACCGATGGAGGGCCTCCTCCGTGACACCCTTCCGTAGCTCCACCGTTTGCCTGAGCAGGTCCTCCGTAGGCACCGTGGGCCTGCTGTCGTCGACCTGGAGCTCGCTCTTCAGAGGGTTCCACTTGAGAACCCTCCAGTGTCCTCGCTCGTCCACCCAGTTCAGCTGCTTCGCCTTGTCCAACTCTGCCTGAGTTTTGGCGATCTTCAGCGAGTAGGTGAGAGTCTCCGGGCTGGTCTCCTTCATGTGGCGCCACTGCTCCGCTGTCTGGTGCAGCAGGGGAACAATGCTGCCCTGGCCTGTCTTGACAAACAGGTAAAGGACCACGTCCTGACGAAGGGACGCAATCATCTGTTCCTGCTGCAGCACAAGCTTGGTGAGGTTCTGCATGTGGTGGTAGCAATAGTCCGTTGCATCGGGTTGACGCTGATGCTGAGAGGACCCCCGCGTCTGGGGCCACGGGCTGTCCCAGCTTTCGGAACCATTGGTGTAGTCCCACGTCGGTGGAAGCGGCTGAGGCTTGCCTTTTCCTTTCCCTTTCTTCCCTTTGCCTTTGCCCTTGGTCGTCTGTGGCATCGAAGAGCCCGGGCTGTGTTCGGGCCGTGGCCGCTTGGAAGGCGGCGGGGCTTCCGGATTGTCGCTCTGTCCGAAAAAGAGAGCCTCCTCTTGGCTGACATCCATCTGCTCGAGGGAAAAAGGACTCATGCCAGGCCTGTAGGTATGCACAGATGCTGAGGGTAGGGCATTGCAGATAATGCCTGTCCTTATTTACTTTGATCTGATGGCAGAACCTACACGGCAAGACAATCGCCCTCCGGAATGCCTTAAGCAGGTGTTGAGCCTCGGCCTTTGTCTCGAGCCAGGAGGCGTGCGCATGAGCCAGATGATGCTTGAGTCCCACCGCATCAGCACACCACTGAAAGCAGACCGGGCAGTGATGAA